GACCGGCAAAAGTCCACAGCTCAGCCCACCTTTCTCTTCACCTTCTCTGTTTGTTCCCCAGCGACCGTGCACAGTCCTCCGTGCAGTCCCTGGCTAGCTGGGTGATTTTTAGGTTAATTCTTGGGTCCAAGCTGTCTGTGCCATCAGGATCACTCAGGATTGCTGCCAGACTGCAGCTCTGTCTCCTTTTTTGGTATTTTCACGCAAATTCTTCTGCTAGTTGGGGTTTAGTCCACTTCTGTATCCTTCCCTTCAAGGCTAAGGGGTCCAGGATTATCTTCTGTGTCTGTGTTAATTGGTTTCTCTTTTCTTTGTTAAAGAGGGTCTTTGCAGTCTTTCTGGCTAGTCCACCATCTTGCCGGAACTACTGGCAGTCTGCTTTTGTAAAGATTGTTGTTATTGTTAGGTGGTGTTGAGTTGGCCCTGACTCATAGACGCCCTGTGGCCAACAGAATGAAATACTGCCCAGTTGTGTGCCATCCTCACAAACTTTGCTATACCTGAGCCCATCGTTGCAGCCACTTTGTAGTTCATCTTGTTTAGGGTCTTCCCCTTTTTCACTGACCCTCCACTTTACCAAGCATGATATCCTTCTCCAGGGAATGGTCCCTTCTGACAACAGGACCAAAGTTGGTGAGATGAAGTCTGGCCATTCTTCCTGACAAGGAGCAGTCCTGCTACACTTCTTCCAGGACAGATTTATTTGCTGTAAACTCTATGGGGCAGTTCTACTCTGTCTTGCAGGGTCACTGTGAGTCAGAGTTAACTAAGACGGCAACAGATTTTTTGTAGGCCAGCTGAGAGATGGAACCACAGGCCCCTGACCCCTTGCTGCCACTGCCAACTTCTTGCTGAACCAGTTACTAGATCTTTAAATTCCAGGGCTGTGTGAGCACACAGACTTTTTACCATCTATCTGTAAGCCCTCAAATCTGCTGATCAGTACAGCCTTTGAAATGGCAGCCTTGCTGTTGGAGGGCCAGGGATGGAAAGAATCCTGTAGAGGTCCCTATGCCCCTCCCTGCATTTTTCCCTCCTTCCTGGGCATTTCCTTAGATTCAGACCATGTCCTTCTGTGACAGGAAGCCCAGTGGTTTCTGAGGTTCCAGTTTGTACAAGAAACTGGGCTTGCTGATCTGACCTTTGTCCTGCCCTCTGCTGGTCTGGTCTTCCTTTCTCATGAGAGTCAGTGGAAAGAGAAGGAGAACAGGCACGTGGCCCCAGACCTCCCATTCCCTGAGCATGTTAGGATCTAGTCTTGGATATGAAAGAGAGCAGGTGGCACCGGGTGCCCCAGAATAGACCTGCTGCTGGATGGAGATGCACCTTCACCTCAGACAGGCTCGTAAAGGGTCCTTTGCCTGTAAGACTGGAAAAATTCTGCCCCATGCTTTGAGAAACTCACTGTCTAAGACAGTTTAACCTGGTAACCTAAGCATCATCATGAATGAACTCAGAAACAGAACCATGCACACCATGGAATGCTGGCTGGGATCCATGCTGGCTCCCAGCATTTACCAAGTCCCTGTCACCTGCTGGGCACTGGAGCAGGCAGGAGTCAGATGGCTGGGATACAGTCCCTGCCTTTGAGCAGCTCACAAGCCGGTAGAGGAGACAGGCACATAAATAGTTATACAGGAGGGTTGGAGTGTCATGACAGTGATGGGTAACAGTGTATGCTGGGAGCCATGGGCAGGGACAGCTGCCCTAAGAGGAGGAGAGGGCACAGGCTTCTGGGAGGAGATTGTGTCCAGATTGAGTCTTAAGCACTCACTGGAGTTAGCCTAGCATTGAGGAGAACCGTCTAGAAAAAAGGTCTGTCTAGTATGAGAAATGGCAGAGACTAAAACCCGGCTGATGTGGGCAGGGGCTTGAAGCACTTCTGTGTTGGTGTGCGTGGTGTGAGCCTCGGAAGAGGCAGGGCCCAAGCCCAGAGAGTCCTGGGAGCCATTCCAAGGAACTTTTTTTTTTTTTTTTTTGCACTGGGAGCCTAAAAGAGTATATCTAGGTGTGGAGTTTAGGGCAAAAATTTCAGGTGGTAGGGTTGGGGTTTTTTAAAACAAAACCCAGCTGCCCTGGTGTTGACTCTGACTCCCAGTGACCCCATGTGCACCAGAGCAGACCTGTGCTCCACAGGGTGGCCAGTGGCTGAGTCCTCAGAACTCAATCACCAGGCCTTTCTTCGGAGGTGCCCCTGGGTAGACTTGAACCTCCAGCCTTTGGATTAGCAGCCGAGTGTGTTAACCTTTTGCTCTATGCAGGGACTCCAGGGTTTATAATTCTCCAAGACTAGGAGTCAGGGTAGTTTAGGAGGGGAGGGCAGAGCACTGGGCTTTGTGGGCTGAGCTGCAGACCTGACCCAGGAAATACTTGGGGGGCCCTGGTCAGGACATGTCAGGCAATGTTTGGGCTTGAGATGGAGGGTTGGAGGGGCTGGACGTGGTTGTGAGACTGTTGGGAGGGAGCCACTAGATCAGGGCAAAGCACCAGGTCATGCAGCCGGCAGGGACTGGCCACCGTGTCCACATTCCAAGGCTCTTTCAGCTCCTCCTTTGAGCCTTGCCCCAGCCCTAGAGAAAAGGGTCAGGGTCTTGGCAAGCACTTTGGAAAAGCACTGACTCATGGGTTAAGTCACTTAGCAAGAAAGAAGGATCATCAGAATCAAAGGTTTTTTCTTAAATATTTTATTTTTGGTGACAATCAAAACCCACTCCCATTCAACATTTTCAGATACAATCAGTGACTTGGTTACATTCTTCACAGTGTGTCAACATTGTCATTTCTGTTCAATTGTCTCACTTAACACTCTGCCCCCCTCTATGCTTTAAAACAGCAGTTGTCCATTTGGTCTTATACAGATAACTTTTTAAAAAGAATGCAATACTCTATCTAGGATGACCATCTTTACTATTTGAGCTAAACTGTTACTTAAAGATAATTTCAGGAGATAGTTTTGATTCAAGGTTTGAAGAGTAATTCAGGGCAATAGTCTTGGAGACTCTTCAGCCTCAGTAGGAACACTAAGTCTGAATTCTTTAAGAATTTAAAGTTATTTTCCACATTTTTCTCCCTTTCTATCAGGATCCATCTATTGTGTCCCTGATCAGAACATCTGATAGTGGGCGCTGGGTACCATCCAGTTCTTCTGGTTTCCAAGGAAGAGGCAGGAGTTCATGGAGACAGTCTGTATTCTACTTCCTTCTCTGATTCTTGGGTTTCCCTCTTTCTCTTTTGTTCTAGATGACTAGAGCCCAATAGTTGTGTCTTCGCTGGCTGCTCATGAGCTCTTAGGACCCCAGACACTACTCACCATACTAGAAGGTAGAACATAAACTTTAAGACCTGTATTATACCAATTGACTGGGTTGTCCCACAAGACCAAAGATCATAGCTTATGAAACAGAAGGGACACTCAGTGAGGAACTCAGAGGCAGATGAAAGGCAGACCCTCACTCATTTTGTGGATCTTGTAAGTGATTTTTGTGTTTGCCTCTGGAGCAGTAGAGATTAAAAAATGTCATCTGGTGCCTCTGGAGAGGTTTGAGGACAGAGGTGAAGGACAGGTTCCTGGGACATGGGGGAGGGGATTAGGCCTTGTCCCCACTGAGCTCTGCTTGGAGTCCCTGATCCATGCTGACCCTGGGAGAGCATCTCACTGAGGACACAGCATGTAACTCAGAGCTCCCTGCTCCATGACAGAGCAGATGGTCCAGCCATCACACTGTAACTATTTTTGACACACATCCTGAGTGATCCCACCCAAATGAACATTTTTCCACATTACAGACTGCTTCACACTCCCAGTTTTTAAGAATATCCTTAATGAGGAAGGTTATGAGTTTTAGAAGTCAATCAGGGCCAAGTCTGGTCTATAATTCTAGTAATAATATCAGAAAGTATTTTCAGTAGTTAGAAATGACTAGTTAGACTACTGAAATGGCAAATTTGAAATATGGAAATAGCTACATATGTATTTACTTCACATACACACAGAGACTAGCAAGTGATTGGACTGATTTTCTCAGTGGCCTCGGACTTGCTGAGAAGCTAATTCCAGAGATGTTCTAAATAAATACATGCTGCTCAGTGGAGGGTATTTGTGGAATAACCGTAGCCTTTTATGATAACCATTTGGCAAGATTCAATTGCTTTGGTGGGAGTACCTTTTTAAAAAAGTCAGGTTATGTTTTTAGTACCCCCTCTCAATGCCCTGAGAGCAACCCAACATGTCCTTCTTCCTTCAGTGATACCACCTTGAATGGAGGAGGCTGTCCAGAGGTGTGTCTGCATGGACCTTCTGCCCCTGGATTAAATGGTCCTAATGTCTAGTCCTGGTGCCTTCCCATTCCTCAGCCCACTCCTCTCAGTTCACCTCTGACCTGCTGTGCTCCGTCTTTCTCCGTGCCTAGGCGATGACAAGTACGGGCGGAAGATCATTGTGTTTAGTGCCTGCCGAATGCCCCCTAGCCACCAGCTGGACCACAGCAAGCTCCTGGGGTGAGTATGGGGCGGCTGGGGGATAGGGGCTGTGGGACCTCTGCTCAGATCCCCAGTGCAGCCCAGTGCCATTTTCCTTACTCTCCTTCCCTGCCTGGGTGCCAGGTCACCTCCTTAAATGCCTCCACTCTTCTCATGAGGGTGCTGTTTTATATGAGGGATGGCACCAGGCCAGGAGACAGACCTGGTTTTCTTACTCTGTGCCACCTTGGCAAGCGTCTTCATCTCTTTAAGCCTCCTTTTCTTCACCTTTAAGAAAAGGATAATAATATGGTACAAACGGTTAAGCACTCAACTGCTAACCACAAAGTTGATGGTTCAAACCCATCCAGTCACTCCTTGAGTGGAAGACCTGGCAGTCTGCTTCCATAGAGATTACAGCATGAAAAGCCTATGGGGCAGTTTTTGCTCTGTCACATGGGGTTGCTGTGAATTGGAATTGACTCGACAGCCCCCAACACAACCACCGCCTTCCTCACAGGAGTGAGATGCTGCATGTGTAAGTGCTTTGAAAAATAGTGTCTGAATTAAGGGCATGTTATAGTTCTGTGGTGCGTCTGGTGTGCTTGCTATTGTTCATCACTTACATGAATACTTATCATCTTACTTTGTGCTTGGATAAATTTGGTATCAGTGATTTCTGAAACTATGTAGGTTCTGATAGCCAAACTGATGTAATAGCTATGGTTGGTCTAGAAATATCCTGACACAAATGGTTTGGTGCAGAAGCTTGAGAGTTCCTATTCCTGTAAGCATCCATTACTGTTGGTTACTGAGCCCACAGTGTGTGTGTAACCTCCTGGGGGCAGAACAGTAACTGACTTCCTCCTGATAGGAGTTACTGTGTGTAGAGTTACTGTAGTGCGTGTCCTGAGATCCTGAATAGTGTGTGTGTGTGTGTGTGTGTGTGTGTGTGTGTATGGGGGTGATGTGGGGTCAGAAGCTGGCTAGGAGTAAGGCCCCAGCTGGGGAAGGGCCAGATTCTGATGTCTCAGGGAGCATGGCCCAGAGGCTGAGTCTGCAGGTTCTTTTTCTTTTTTTTTATTGTGATTTGGGTGAAAGTTTACAGAGCAAATTCACTTTTCATACAGCAGTTCACATATACTTTGTCTCATGTCATTGACCACAGTTTACCACAATGCAACAGCTCCCCTCCCACTTCCTCCCCATAGTTACCTCTTCCCAGTGTCCATCCCTCCATGCACTCCTGCCCCCTGAGCTGTCTCCCTGTGCATAAACAGCCCTTCTCCAAGGATTGTTCTCTCCAAGGATTGTATGAACATGTACCTCAGGTAAATGTTCAACTCATATGCCTATGTTTTGTTTGGCTGGAAGCCACAGGTGTGGGTTCATTTCCAGACTTGAAGGGCAGCTGGGGCCATAGTCTCAGTGGTTCCACCAGGCTCTATCAGACCAGCAAACCTGGTCCTTTTTTTCCCCCCAAATGATTCTCAGTTCTGTTTGGCTTTTTTAGCTCCCCTCCCACCTCTCCTCAGAGGAGGCAGGCAGGCCTACCATGTGGTTAAGCCAGAAATAGGCCAAGGAGCTCAGCCTGAGGGTGGCTGAGTCACATTCTCTTCCATCTGGTTTTTTCACAGTGTGTGACATAACAGGTGACAGACTCCTGGCCAGATAACAATCTGAGTGGGGAGGAAGTCAGAGAATGGGGAAGGGAAAGCACCCACTTTTCCGGGAGACAGCTTGCTCAGTGAGGCTGCGCCCACTCTGGGGCTCCGTTGGGGTTCAGGAAGCCCTCTGCCATCTGTAGCTGTCTGTCCTCCAGCTCTGCCCAGGCTCATCGTCCCTGCTGAGAACAGGGAGGCACTGCCATCATTCCTGTCATACTGGATTCTTAGACCCGGCTTTCCCCAACCTGGGGGATGAAACAGAAAGTACCCAAAGCTTGGAGTCAGAGGCCAATTAACCTCAAGCTCTGCTGTGTGCTTTGGGGCTCTTAAGAGCCCTTAACAGCCCTATAAAAGTAAAAATTATGTCCACCTCAGACAGTTGTAGGGATTAGGTAAGGTAATACATAGAGAAGTCCCTCGGTAGCACAGATGGTTAAGGGCTCAGCTGCTAAACAAAAGGTTGGAGGTTCGAGTCTACCCAGAAGCAACCTGGAAAAAAAACCCTGGTGACCTACTTCTGAAAATTCAGCCACAGAAAACCCTGCGGAGCACGGTTCTCCTGTGACACGCGCAGGGTCACCGCGAGTCGGGATCAGCTTCATAGCAGCTGGCTTTTAAAGTATTTCAAATTTTCCAGGGATAAAGCTCAGATAGCAGGAAAGGATAGGAAAGGACAATGGGAATGGCCAACACAGGGAGGAGGCGGGAAGAGCGCTGTTCCATTGTGGGGATCGCATTCAGCGTCATGAAACAAAACGTGTCTGAACAGTTGAATGGAAACCTATTTGCTCTGTAACCTTTCACTCAAATCACGATAAAAAATTAAAAAAATAAAAACCAAATAAAAGTGTTGGAAAATTTAGAAATGTAGGTACCAAAACCAAAACCAAACTCACTGCTGTCGAGTCATTTTGACTCAGCAATCCCTCCTTGGGTTTCCGAGGCAGTATCACTATGGAAGTAGATTGCCCAACCTTCCTTCCGAGGAGTGGCTGGTGGGTTTGAACTGCCAGCCTTCCAGTTAGCAGTCAAGTGCCTTAGGCACTATGC